AGAGCTGGAAGCTCAGTGATGATAAGTGACATAAGACCACAGAGGATAAAACTTCATTATCTCCCTCATTATCTATGAGGAATCAGCTGAAGGAGGTGGACAAACCCAGTGCAAAATGAAATGTAAGCTAATGGTCACCCCTCCAGGCAGGTGTAGAATGAAAACTGCTGCCCAGATGCAGTGCAACGTGGTTACCCACTAACAGTCCAAGGCTGCCAGGCAGGATTCTGCCTTCCTGCTTCCTGGTTCTTCTCACAGATCCACAGTCCAAGCCCAAAAACCCCATGGTGACAGTCTCAGCCACTGCCACCTGTGTCTCATAACACAATCAGGCCCACAACAGGGTTCAGATGAAGTTCATGTGTTTTCTACACTCAGCACACAGGGAAAGAGGAGGACGGAGACATAAATTTAAGGTCAGATGATGTGTAACACCAAACAAGCTACAGAAGCCACTGGAATACAACCTGCAAGGGTAGGGTGCTGGAAACAGTAATATTTTTTTCAGCTGACACTGAACACCAGAAAATACCAGTCCAGCATTGAGCTATGTCACTGAGGATAGTGTTGCTCACCAAGCTTGCAGGACACAGCCATGAAAACAGCAGGACACACTTCTCCCACACCCCACTGAGAAGTGATAGGCATCTACTAAGGACTGGGTGGAGGTGCACAGCCCTCCCCAAACTGAGGATGCTGCCCACTTGCAGCAGCACCAATCACATTAGTATCCAAAGCCCTTGTGATTCCCACAACAGAGGAGCTCGTGCAGTCCTCTGTGACTTTGTCAGTGCCTGTAGCCTTCAGACTGGCTGACAGTTCCATCAGCCTCCACCCTGATGCTCAAAGACAGGAAGAGACAGTAACCTCAGGGACACAGCCACTCTGTGCTGGCACTTGGCCTCAAGCCTGGAACAGCCTTTGGCTGCTTTTATTTATAGCTATAGCCAATAGGGGATTCAACAGGGAATCTATTCCTGTAGTAAGATAAATTTAACATGAGCACAGTCTTCTTTACTTCCTAATTATTAAGAAGTAGAGGGAAAAAAAAGCACCTCAGAACACAGTGGTACAGTTCCTACAGATTAGATTTCACCAACAGCTGCAGGAGGAATGTCTTCAGTGTATGCCTGTCTATACTGTTCTCTTGGACACCAATAACTGAGGATTTTACATTTTCCTAGAGTGGAGAGGGAAGAGCCTGAATGGAAGTGGGGAACTTGACACAATTACTCAAGCAAGCATCTGATGCACAAGAGCAGTTCCCCAACACAATACAGTATGTCCATACACTCAAAAAGAACAGGAAACAATGTTTTTAAAGATCAGTGCCCTTCTGGCAAAGAGAAGCATCCTCTCAGTCAGATTGAATATGCCCATGCTATTTATAGACTGGGGCAACCATATGTCCACATTTCCCCTAACACATCATCTTTTTCTCTTGGAGCTACTACTGAAGTTAAAATTCCAGCCCTGTCTCCAAGATTTGTGGAGGAAACAGGCACAGTGCCACAGTGCAGCAAGTTACACCCACATGTGACAGCAGGACGTACACTGGAGCCTTCCCAGTGCACCATCTGCACATCTACAGGACATCCATATAGTAATTACTAGAAACAGAATTGTGGAAACTAATCCTATTTATAGATTTAAGAGCCTGTTAAATGGTACTGCCTGTGGCAGTGGAAGGCAAAGTTAAATATGTTTTTAACATAGCTTAGTTTGACATTTTGCATACTTGGGTCCTTTGTAGAGCAGCTCACTCCTGAACTTTTAATCCAGCTTGAAAACTCAATGCAGATACAAATTCTTGTAAGTTCTCATGGATTTGGAGTAGCTCTGCATTCAATGAGATCCTGTTCTTGACAAATAAAAAGCCTGCACCACGATGCTGCAATTTAATCACAAATACACATGCATGACTGAGACCATCAAACATTTACACACTTATTTAGTACTTAAAAGTGTCTATAAAAAACTCACACGCTTCTTAAATCAATAACATTTATTTCCATGAAACCAAGACAAACTTTTGAAATTAATACAAGATAAAAATTCAAGGTGGTTGGCAAGGGAAAAAAAAAAAAAAGAAAAAGATAAGACTGCACATCAAGAATGTTATTTTTATATGCTCAAACATATTTTTGAATAAAATAATACTGGCACATAGAAATGGCACTTTCCCACAGAAAAATAAAAAACAGCAGAATTTTCCCTTCTCTTCTAGTCAGTAGTTCTATGAAAACTAAACACACATACATGCAGCCTGCAACTTCTATAGCAAAGTTTACTGTGGGAATTTGGAACAATCTTCTATCAAAAGTCACAAAATTGCAGCAAAAGACTTGCTCCACTGCATTTTTGTACCCAGCAGATTTTATAATACTTCCTCTGTCAGCAAACAGCAATCAGTTTTCCAGTGTTTACTGTAAGTGCTTAAAACTGCATTAATACTTGCAAACAGGCAGTAATAAAGCCTTATTTGATATAGATTAAAGCACTCCTGCCCAATATCAAAGCCATTGAAATCCACAGTTTTGCCTGTTGGTTTCAATGGGCTCTGAATTTGCATTGGACAAAACACACAATAAACAACATTCTTTTTTAATTGTTTCAGTAAAAGTCTCCCACCTTGAAAGCACTATTTTCAAGTATTGCTATCCTAGTCTTCTAACACCTACTGAAAATCCCCAAGAACCAAGACAAACAAAAAAAGCCTGAATGGAGAGAAGAGTGCACTTAAACAATCTCCCTCTCCTTACCCCATCCCACCCTCCCACCCAGGATCTTGCTGACTTAATTCCAAACTCACAATTTATTGTACAGCCATGGTCTGGAACAAGCTTTCCCTGAGCACTCTTTCTACCTGTTTCAGAAAGTCAGAATGTATTTACTTGACCTCAGCCATTATTATTGCCATTATTGCATTTTCTTTGCTAACATGCAACATATTTTCTAAGCAAGTTATTTCATTTTGGTAACCCTGGATTGTACATGTACACAAACTTGTATTCTATTGCTCCAAATATAGAACTTGAAAGTGCATCTGACTTCTAAACAGTATTATTCAGGCAGGTTTCAGAAAGTAACTAGACCCAAAAGATTGACATGCACAAATCTTAATGACACATCTCTGTTGAAAGATGCAGAATTAATGGCATATCTCCTTGGAAATTTAGTGGTGTAGCATCATTAGGAGATAAAACTGCTTCACAGCCCAAGGTGTGGCTACTAGGAGGGAACAAAACACTATTGTGCAAGAGGAGTCAGGGCATGGGAATGAGGATTAATCTCACACACAAGCAAAGCAACTGTTCCACGTGCAAGATGCAACAGTGCATCATCATGGTGTTTATATCATCTTTGGAAGTTTAGTCTCTACCTGCCACCCACCTTCACACCAATATGAGCTGTGTGATCTACAGAAGGAAGCCTCAGAACTGCATTAAAAGTTTGCTTCAACTACTCTAAGTCACAGGTATTGTCAAGGACCTGAAATGCAAATCCCCAGAGGACTGACCTAAAAGGTACCA